GCTGGGCGCACGTGTGGGGGGAGGTGCTGGGCGCACGTGTGGGGGGAGGTGCTGGGCGCACGTGTGGGGGGAGGTGCTGGGCGCACGTGTGGGGGGAGGTGCTGGGCGCACGTGTGTATTGGGAGCAGGGTTTGTGTTGGGGTGAGGTGTGTGTGTAGGGGCGGGGTCTGCGTGCTGGGTGGAGAGCTGTTAGCCTGTCTGTGTCCTACAGAGAGGAACACTGGGCCTGCATGGAGAACAGTATTTGCTGTTGGTGTCCTAGCTGCCTTGCTGTCACCCAGTGAACACAGCCTAAGCTGGAAACACTTCCCAATAAACACATCCCAGGAAAACACCAATGTACGACATTGTAACTGAGTTAATTTAAAAGCCTGAATGAGCAGTGGTAACAACCCAGCAGCTCTCAGCTGTATCGCAGCCTGATTGTCACTGAGGAGCAGAGATTTTCAAAACACATTTTGAACCCCTGAATGGAAGTTCCTTATGTAACACTGTGGGTTGAACATCAGAGCTCAGTGGGAGAGAGAGACTAATGATCAGTGTGTGATCGCATTGAGACTGCTAGCCAAAGGCCGAGGGTCTGGCAGGGGTGGGGGGGGATAAGAAATGATCTTCTCAGAAATAGATGGCTTTGGGTGAAACAGATCCTGCCACGCGAGCACGTCTGCTGAGAGGGGAGAAACACTTTCAAGGAAGCTATCAACTTGTGCAAGTGCCATGCCGTAGTCCATCATCAGTTACAGCGTGAGAGAACAGGCTGGCCTTTCATTAGACCAAGGGACTTTCTTGGCTGAACGAGAACAGCAGATTGGACAAAGGAAATATTTACAGGGAAGATGGTGGAAAGATCAAAGTCAGGGGGCAGGATGTAAATATCGCAGACAATATCACATGAGAGAAAGGGAAGCATTTCCACAAGGGGGAACACAGTCCCTACAGTCTTTCATCACCCCAGGGCTCAGGGCTGTAGTCCCTCAGACTGCTCCCCAGGGCCACATTGTGGACCCCAGACCTGATTCCTGTGGATTCTGGGCCCAAGAACACCCTCCATGAGCTGGTGCAGAGACTCTGGGCTGACATCAGGCCCCGATCCCTGACTCAGTGTAGGTGCCAGGCCCTGACCCCAGACGCTGGGCCCTGAGTGTTGGCCCCCGTCCCTGAACCCAGGCCCAGGCCCTGAGTGTAGACTGTGAGCCCAGAGTGTAGCCCCCACATCCTCCTAATTTCAGTGATTATATAACCAGGAGTTTGAGTGTGGGTAAGGGAGTTGGGGGAGGTGGGAAGGTCGCAGATTTGTGAGGGGATGTCAGTCAGGGGAATGGGTAGAAGGGTGATCTCGGGGAGATGGTTGTAGGCCTGGAGTTGAGGCTTTGACTGAGCTATCTGTACTCTTGACTCACACTCCTCATTGAGGCCTGGTAGTGCAGTGGAGGATGATCAGATCAGCCTCCATGGCATAGAATGGGCTGAATGGACTTGATGGGCCGAATGGCCAGCTTCCATGGTTTCCTGGTCTCCAAGGGCTACAATGCCCTTGGCCTACAATCTTGCACAATGCCCTACAATCTCTCACGGGAGGCAATACCCTAGTGGTATTGTCACTGAACTGTTAATCCAGAGACCCGGATACTGCTCTGGGGACCTGGGTTCGAATCCTGCCGCAGGAGATGGTGGAATTTGAATTCAGTAAATATCTGGAATTAAGAATCTAATGATGACCATGAATCCATTGTCAATTGTTGGGAAAACCCGTCTGGTTCACTAATGTCCTTTAGGGAAAGAAACTGCCATCCTTACCTGGTCTGGCCTACAAGTGACTCCAGGCCCACAGCAATGTGCTTGACTCTGAACTGCCCTCGGGGGCAATTAGGGATGGGGCAATAAATGCTGGGCCCAGCCAGCAATGCCCTCATCCCATTAATAGAAAAAGAAAATCCAGAGATGTTCTATGGGCCTGGGTTCAAATCCTGCCACAGCAGATAGAGGAATTTGAATTCAATTTTTAAAAAAAATGTGGAATTAAGAGTCTAATGATGAAAACCCATCTGGTTCACTAATGTCCTTGTTAGGGAAGGAAATTTCTGTCCTTACCTGGTCTGGACTATACGTGACTCCACACCCACAGCAATGTGGTTTACTCCTAATGGGCAGTTAGTGATGAGAAATAAATACTGGCCCAGCCAATGCTGCCCTCATCCCATGAATGAACCTCTGTCACATCGTCAACGTTCGACCGAAGAGGTTTTGAGAAAACATCCCTGGGGAGATTCAGAGAGAGGTCACTGATATTTCTCTCCACACCGCAATGGCGTGGGATCTGACTGTGCATCTGCAACACAATCCCACTGCCACTGACCATCCCCCATCAGGTAAGGACCAATCAGGGAGGAGACGGCGGAGGGGCTGGAGGAGGGTGACAGAGATAGGGAGGGGGCGTAGGGAGCTGGAGGAGGTGACAGAGATAGGGAGAGAGGTGTAGGGGGCTGGGAGGGTGTGACAGATATAGGGAAGGGGCGTAGGGAGCTGGAGGAGGTGACAGAGATAGGGAGGGGGTGTAGGGGTCTAGGGGGCTGGAGGA